AAATGTTCATGTTATGTGAATTGCCTAAATATTACTCCTTAAAACATGATACGCTGGAGCCCCCTTAATATACAAAACATAGTGTACGTTTCTACTGAGTGGTGATATAACTAAGTAGGCAATTAATATAAAATAGCATTCCGAGGTCATTGCAAAAAGCGTAGTGAACACCGTAGATAATTAATCTATAAAAGCATTGTCACACGTCTCTTCTCAGGAAAAAGTCTCTTGTTATTCACAAAGGTTGTGAATCGACTAGAATAACCAATTACACCAGGAGACTCAAATTCTGCCTTGTGCCAGATTTCACCACCACGTACTACCACCTAGTCCTACGGATATGAGCATATATTATAAGGGAGACCACGGAAAAAGCTCGTCAGACGGTTTTTAAAATATGACACACACGGTTTTTTTCTAAAATGTGAGCCAAACGGTTCTTAAATTTGAACTAGACTGCTAGGGACATTTAAGACACTTAGAGGCAGGTCGTAAAACCACTCATTGCCAATTAAAACAATATTTCAGAGTATGGTCGTAACACCGCTCACCAACACCTTTATAGCATATAAACTGTATTTTTGTATCAAGTTTTAATAAATTGTGAAAATAAAGACATTATTACATTGTATACATCAGTATTTCATCTCTACTTTGATTTATGAATCGACGTTCAGTCGGGACGTAACAATATAATATATAGTTAATAATATTACCAATAAATAATTATAATTATTTTGGCTTATTTATTGATTTAAAATTACTTATTATGTATTATAATACGTTTTTAAATTATATTACAATTTTTTTTTAGTATTAATTTTCSCCGAAATGGTCACGCGTTGAAACGGACATCGTGGAATATCCGCCGAAACGTTCGCACCGAACTGTCGACGCCGAAAAGTATCATTCCCTATTACCATTGTTAATTATTGTTATGTATTATTAATATAATTAATAACATAAACGTATTATATAGAAATTTATTGTTAACAGTATAAATCGTAATGACGGACATTATAGTTCTACTCGCTAATAACCGATGGACAGTCCTCACCGATCGTAATATGATACTTATGATTATTGTTAGCATAAACAGACAACAGTATACGTGTAATATCATATAATATAAATGCTGAATATGCAAAATATATGAAAAACGTCATAATCAACTAAAATAAAAATTAATTAATTTTATTAAACTTTTGTTATTTTAAAACAGACAATCCAGATAAACCACTTACACCAATAACGTTTTGTAATGGAATCCCCGGAAACTAAGAAGATTAATTTTGTATTACGTTATAGGATGAGGTATAGGTAAATAATATAATTTAATTTAATCTTTTGTGATAGTRTGATGTTTTAATCAGTTTAGGTTTAGTTAATGCTTTTTATCTTTGTTCATGACCAAAATGTATTCAGTCAACGTCAAGCAAAAAGTGGTTATTATTATTCATTTTGTAATATCATTTATACAGTTTACAATTTGAAAATACATATTTTTTTAATAATACATTTTAATCAAGGTTGTTTACTATAATATTATATTACAGCTATGTTTGTTTTTAAATAAAAAAATTAATTTGGTATTTCCAAATGGTTTGGTAGTTCTTTATTTATTTTATAAAAGCCAGAAACATTTAATTGTATAAGTAACCTCAAACTATCAGATCAATGTGTTAAGAACCCTAAATATTACATATATCTGTATAATAACACAGAAACATGGCGGAACATACAACACTCATCTTGTTAAACTTCAGATTACAATAAATGGATTAATTAAAATAATTTTACACAAGCCAAGCTTACATTCTACTGTAAACTTGTTTAATGAATTTAGAATATTTAATTTAAAAGCACTTTACTTTAAGAATGTATTACTTCACCTATTTAAAACTAATATAACTATGTTTAAACCACATCATTCTTATAATACAAGATTAAAAACCTTAAGTAATTTAAATTTTTTCAAAGTATGGATCGATTTATGTAGAAAATAATAATCACTATTTATTGATATCACGAATTTTAAAACAAAACGAATGTTGATTAATTACTTAAATGCTTTATACCTAAATAATTTCAATCTGTAAACAATTTCTCAATTTTCATATTTTTTTCATTTATGTACTGATTATAAAATTGAGCAATAACATTAAAGTTAAGTTTTTTTTATTATATTATAAATTTATATAATTGTACTATAATTCCTCATTTAACTGACTGTTTTGAATTCATCCACCCCAAGCACAAGCTCTGCTTTTTGGGGAGGTATCAAATTTTATTATTGTATACTTTATAGTTGTTCGCGCCACGCAATTCATATCGCAGACGCTTATCTGCGTGACGGCGACCGTCCTTAATTATCATATGCAAGGCATGTAATTAATAATATTGTATTATCTTTGTTTGTTCTTTCTTTATGTGTTGCCTTAACAGTATCAATAATAACGTATAATCATTATTCATTACCTTTTCTGTTATGTTCATATTGTCGTTCTATTGTTCAGCCCTGTTCTATTGTTATTCGCTCTTTTTTTCTTTTCGTCTTTATTGCTACTACAGCGGACAAACCCTTTTCCATGCGCTAGTGCAGCCACGGTAAATTTACAATTGCGACCAATGTTCATATTCTATTGTTTCAATAAGCAGTTGTGCTGTCAATAAGTGAGTCTTTTCTTGTATGTATAAAAATATCCACATTCACGGTATTGAATCCGCATCCTTGGAACATACGTATCAACTTTGGGTGTCCTCCGTCGACATTACGTACATTTTTGGCCCTCTTTACGGTTATAAGATCTACCACAGCGTCGAAGGTTGGTGACTGTCAGTTCCGCGTAAGTCCGCCAGCACCCGGAGTGGGTGTGTGAGAGGCCGCCCAGGTCGTCGAGTTGGTGACTGCCAGGTCCGCTTAAGTCCGCCAGTACCCGGAGTGGGTGGGTGAGAGGTCGCCACGGTCGTCCAGATTATATTGGTCGCCGGCAACCCGCTCACGGTTCCACTGTCTTAATTTAAGTTAATTTTAAGATTTGTCCCCCTGATTGTACTCTCTACGATCATTGCACCAGACTGATCGGATCGTAGAGACTACTCCCGTCCCTTAAACATAAACGGATCATCCTTTCATTAGCTTAAACTCCTTAGTGCCTGTATTCAATGATTCTCGTTCCTGCTACTGTTGTCGCAAAATAGTTTACCTATTCTCATTTGGTCGAGCGCAGTGTTGGGTTGTCTACCTGCACATTAGTAGGCGTAAATTAGCATTCCGCTGCAAAACAAATAGTTGCCAAGGTTCGTCTGGTCAGGCGCAATTGTGGGTTGCCTACCCGAACATTAATAGGCGAAAATTAACAGTCCGCGCAAATTAAATTGGTCACGGGTTCACCGGTAGATTTTCCGGTCAGTCCTCTGGACGGAGCTAGGTAAATTGGGTCCGCGATAATTTGGGTTCGTTTTGAAAGTGGTAAGTTGAGTCCCGGGTATAAAAAGGTAATAGGYAAATTGGGTCCCGGCTATAAATCATTGGCGCAATTAGGTCTAAAATATTAAAAACTTAAAACTTAAATATTTCATGCTTATGTAATTTACTTTTGAATAATTATGTTACAATAATACGTCATATTGCATACAGTGGTACACCGCCTGGACACCAATTAATTCTACGCATGATGT